ATAAAATCAAGAAGATTCCTCACCCAAAGAAGGCATAAACGTCTCATTCCAAGCCCCAGTTTGTTTTAGTGTCAACCTACTCGACCAAAGGATCAAACATGGGATCATTATCAATGACTGATAACAGACCCTTATGTAAAGCTTCCGTAAAACCTCCTTATTTAAATCATCTTTGTTACATAGCGACTATTTAGAGATACAATTGAAAACTCCTAGATATGAGGTATGAAGTGGGACCCCTGGATGTAAGGAAAGCATTCACGATCAATATCGACATCTGCATGCAGATCCTCGGATGTAAGGTTTTTACTCGAACTAATTGTGGACCAAATGGGCTGAGAAATTTCCCACTGAAATGACATCAAGAAGTTTTCCCGCCCAAAGAACAATAAATGTCCAACTTTTCGGACTGAAAGGCTGAAAGTTGTGCATAATTGTGGACCAAGTTTGTTGATATATCTTGATCAATTTATTAGAATTAGCTCTAAAACAGCACCTCAACAATGATTATTTTTGAGACCATGAAGATGATTTCCAACAAACGAGACTATTTTGACTTATGCTACATAATATTTAAACTCATTTTAACTAGATTTAATTAATAACTTTTTACTCAAGTTTTCAACGTGCGAAATATAGTTTACAAGGGTGGAGTCAGGTTTGCCAGCTATCAGTGTTGCAGACTATAACCCTGTGAGCATTTTTTGGGGGCAAAGACTAAGCATTACTTCACAATTTGAAACTGCAGCCACAACTGATCCATTGCTGATCCTTCTATCATAGTTGTTGACTTCTTAATCTTTTTCACTTATCAAACTTGTGAGTGAACCTTAATACTTTGCAACTTGGTTGGCACTGGTGCATACAAGGCAGCATCTCAAGAGATTTTTAAGACCTTGGCGATAGTTTCCACAGAAAATAAAAGAGATGCAAGGGTTTATAGCACTGTTAAAATGAGCCAGACGGAAAGCAATAGCTGCGAAATATTTGAAGCCGCAAGATGCCGTCATAGTGCTGTCTGGAGCATAAAGGACAAGGAACCACCAGATTGTAGTGGGCAGCCAGCATACTATGAACGTTAACACGATGGCAATTGACATCTTCAGCACATTTTTCTGTCTGCGCGACTGTTGTTCTCTTCCGTTGGCCGATCCCTCGCCCGGAATATTCTGAGATTTTAGTTTAATAACGACGGTCATGTAAAGTATGGAAATCAAAACCATAGGAACATACCAGAATATTACAAGCATTGAAACTTCGTAGCTTCGGTAACTCAGTGACTCTCCAAATACTTCATTACGCTTGTACACACATACCAGCCCTTCCTGATACTCAACAAGTTCGTAGGTCAAAGCGTCTGGGATATTAGCAGCAACCGCAATGATCCAAGTGGCGAGAATAAAGAACCGGCAATGCTTTGAACTGATCAGTGGAGAACGGAGAGGAAAAACTACAGCTCCAAATCGATCCACTGCTATAAGAACCAGACTTTGAATCGACAAGGAAGCAGAGACATCTATGAGGAAGTAATTTAGCTTACATAAAGCTTGTCCTACAGGACCACCTAAAATATAGTAGCCGAAGTTCATCTCTGTTACAATGTATGGAAAACACACAATCGGAAACAACAGATCTGACATGGCCATGTTTAAAATGAAAAAGTTGATTGGTTTTCGCATGGATCTCGTCCTGTAGACTATAATTCCAATGAAAATGTTTCCGATCAGTGCCAGAACGAAAATCAGGCAGTAATAAAAGGAAATACCGATTCTTTTAGCTTCATGGTTGAAGCAGCTCGATCTTTGACTTCCATTCATTGTTGCAGTCCTGTTTGCCAACATCATTGACACTGAAAAACCAGTGTCCGCAGCCGGTAGTTCTCCGAGAACTAATTTTGGCTGCTATCAATGCACTTTCATTGTTTTTAAAAGAAAGCTGATTATAACCATTTTTAGCAAAATTGGTCAATGTAGAATCGCCATGAATAAAAACAATTGATACTCAAAACTTCCCTTCTGTTCTCTCCAGGCTCTCTCTTTTTGTAATTGGTTTTACTCATTGTGTCAGTACATTCGGTTTTCTTGATATGTTTAAGACTTTATGTATATTGCAGCCAATCATCCATCAGTCAAAGACTACACGCTATGCTGAGGACAGTTTGTTCTATATTTGAAAATCCCCAGCGAAGCAGAAGAGAACCAGTTGTTGTTCTTTATTGTCTTACCTTGGAAACAGAAAAATAGAATAAAACAGATCAGACGTAACCATGCTTACAATTAAAATGTTGATTAGCAATCTCAAATTTTTTGTCTTGTTGACAAATATTTCGACAAATACCAGCAAGAGAAAATTATGTTTCCGTGATATCTCTTGAAACCATACAATAAGAAAAAGTTTTCGCGATTCTTTCATCTTTAGGATTAACTGCGCAGCTTGAAATGAGCTGTGTTTCAGTCAACGCTGCAGTTAAGTTTCTATTATTCTTGTAACTGAGAGATCTGTTTTCTCTTCACCCAGCTGTTCTCTAACTCTGGAAATTTCGTTGAACTAAAATCAATATAAAAAATTGATCAT